CTAAAGTCTTTCACTTCATAAAGTCAAGTGTCTTATACTTGCTCTTTGTTTTCTGAGTTAATATACTACTTGGAGCACAAATGAAAGAACAAATTGCAGCTCATGGATTCTGCCCCAAAACACTAAGTTTAAGAGTTGTCTGAGGGTCAAGGTTCATAGCTTTTATATGTTTACCTGGTCTCAAAAGATAATTGCACTGAGTAATTTCATTGGCCAATATTAGGAAATACAACATGAAAATAACATTTTCAAGGATGCATATGTAAGCTAACATGTAAACCTCCCAAATAGCCAGAGATACAGAGGGGGTATGGTAAAGTCAAATAAGCATATTCAAATTAACATTTAAACAAACTATCACTGAACAAATCAAATAATGTCAAGGGTAAAAAATTTTTAATTGTAAGCACATGATTGCTTAACACAGTGATGGGGTGCTGAGGGGTGGTGATGTTCAGGCAACTGCTTGCCATTTTGCTTCCACTGAACCCAAGGAGTATTTAAATGCAGGTAAATTCCTGCTACTTTCTAGGCAGAGTAAATATAAATATTCAGAGGTACACTAGATCTATGAATGATTTTAGTCATAAATGATTTTGCCTCAGGTGATTCTATACAGACACATTGTCTACATAAATTAACCCACCTCTGTCACCTTCAAAGAGAAATCCATGTACAAAATGCCATTCCTCATAAAGTATAATTTTAATTCCTATATATATATATTGCTTAAATAGAAAAATTCTGTGCCACAAATTAAAAATTCTAGGATAAACTTCATAAAGATCTCTTGTCCATGTAACTTTGAAGTGTTGTCAGCACAGCTGCCTAATTTATAAGACGCACCCTGCAGTCAGTGTCTCTTTGTAGTGTTATTTGTCAAATGATTCAAGCACTGCTTTAAAGTATATATGTGAGGCTACTCATCAATCCCAGTGCCCTTAAACTGCATACTATGCTATGCACAATTTTCTCCTCTAAGCATGTGAAATTCTAAATTATATTTGCCTTTGATATATTTATTTTCCTTTATTTTAGAAGTATTGCAGGAAGGAATAAAGCTACTATAAAGTTAAAATATGCAATAGCCTTGTAAAGGAGTAAGGACCTAGTAGGAATTTAAGAGTGCATGCACAAGTGTGTGTGTGTGTGTTTAGGTATGTATGTGTCTGTGTGTGTATGCCTGAAACAAAGAGGTATCTTTCCGCCTCATACATTGAGCTATTTTATCTTTTCTCTCCTAGGTCAAACAGAGGTTTAAGTCCAACTAATTGCTTTTAATTTAACAAGAAGGTATTCTACAGGACTAAAGTCTTTCACTTCATAAAGTCAAGTGTCTTATACTTGCTCTTTGTTTTCTGAGTTAATATACTACTTGGAGCACAAATGAAAGAACAAATTGCAGCTCATGGATTCTGCCCCAAAACACTAAGTTTAAGAGTTGTCTGAGGGTCAAGGTTCATAGCTTTTATATGTTTACCTGGTCTCAAAAGATAATTGCACTGAGTAATTTCATTGGCCAATATTAGGAAATACAACATGAAAATAACATTTTCAAGGATGCATATGTAAGCTAACATGTAAACCTCCCAAATAGCCAGAGATACAGAGGGGGTGTGGTAAAGTCAAATAAGCATATTCAAATTAACATTTAAACAAACTATCACTGAACAAATCAAATAATGTCAAGGGTAAAAAATTTTTAATTGTAAGCACATGATTGCTTAACACAGTGATGGGGTGCTGAGGGGTGGTGATGTTCAGGCAACTGCTTGCCATTTTGCTTCCACTGAACCCAAGGAGTATTTAAATGCAGGTAAATTCCTGCTACTTTCTAGGCAGAGTAAATATAAATATTCAGAGGTACACTAGATCTATGAATGATTTTAGTCATAAATGATTTTGCCTCAGGTGATTCTATACAGACACATTGTCTACATAAATTAACCCACCTCTGTCACCTTCAAAGAGAAATCCATGTACAAAATGCCATTCCTCATAAAGTATAATTTTAATTCCTATATATATATTGCTTAAATAGAAAAATTCTGTGCCACAAATTAAAAATTCTAGGATAAACTTCATAAAGATCTCTTGTCCATGTAACTTTGAAGTGTTGTCAGCACAGCTGCCTAATTTATAAGACGCACCCTGCAGTCAGTGTCTCTTTGTAGTGTTATTTGTCAAATGATTCAAGCACTGCTTTAAAGTATATATGTGAGGCTACTCATCAATCCCAGTGCCCTTAAACTGCATACTATGCTATGCACAATTTTCTCCTCTAAGCATGTGAAATTCTAAATTATATTTGCCTTTGATATATTTATTTTCCTTTATTTTAGAAGTATTGCAGGAAGGAATAAAGCTACTATAAAGTTAAAATATGCAATAGTCTTGTAAAGGAGTAAGGACCTAGTAGGAATTTAAGAGTGCATGCACAAGTGTGTGTGTGTGTGTTTAGGTATGTATGTGTCTGTGTGTGTCTATGTGTGGGGGGGGGCTCTTCTGTGAGAAAAGGAAATGTGACTGGGCACTGAGGGGATTCTAGTCCAATTAAAATATTCCAGAAGAAAGCACTTATTTATTAACAATGTGGAACCTCTTATATAACCACATCAGGTTAAAATCAGGGTTATTTGTTATAGGCACTTCCTTCTTTCATCCTAACCAACCAGCAACTCAAATTTAGTACCAAGTACTAAGTGTTATGGTTCAATCCCTCACAAAAATCTGCCAGGGTTCTGCAATTAGGGCCCCAATGTTGTATTATTTTATCATTTAAAATATTCTGGAAGCATATGATAAGTTTGATTAATTTTCTGAGATAACTGGAAAATATAAATCAATTCACAGCATTTTGAAGAACAAACTCACAGCTATGTGCATATGCTTGAGACAGAGCAAGAAATGGAAAAAGAGAGTCAGTATGAGACATCTGTACTTGTCCCTCTATACAAACCTACACACCACGTGTACATCACACACCCAACCCACACTCACACACAGGGGCCGGCAGAATGCGTAGGTCAGCAGAGATGACTGCCTGAAGGCAGTTCATTAAAGAGCAGGACAATTTAAATTTTCAGGGAATACTTTCTCCCCTGATTAAACAGTTCATTGGCAGAAAATGAGGAAAATAAAGGTAAGTAGCCACCTATCTTAAAGTCAAACCTAAAAACTAGCTTATGGGTTTTTTTTGTGAGGACAGCATTTCACTGCAACCATTATGTGGCGAGTCAAGGTCATATGAAGGCCAGAGGAAGGTAGAATTCCATGAAGTCATTAAAGCTACCAAGAGCTCTTGAATTTCCTGTCACTTATGAAGACAAAGTACCCAGTGGGAATATCTGAAAATGGGTGAAATAATTTTTGGATAAGTGTATAATATTCTAAAAGCCATCTCAGGATTATATTGATATCAAAGCTGATAACCAGTAGGCATTACTAAGGTTCAAAGGGTATTAACAACTGAACTCCCATCTGGCCGGCTCCCTGAGTGCATTTCCACCTGGGTCCCCCACTTTCCTACCAACCAGCAACTCAAGTGTTAGTACCAAGTCAACTGGCATGCCATACCAACCAACGATCCCATTGTTTTTGTTTTGGCCCCTGTCCTCAAACTTAGAACCCAGAAAGGTCCGTTTTTGTCCTATGTGCCTGCTTCCTGTCCTGACCTTTCCAGGGAGTCTTCAGGGGGACAGGGAGAGGAGGCAGATGTACAGTCACAAGGACTGCCCCCACGCCCCACCTGTTGGCACAGGACGCCACGGAGGACAGTCCAGATGGTGGCAGTGGGCTGTGACTCAGCCCAGGGAGTCCAGGGTAGACCTGCAGTTACCAATCCCTGTTGAGTTTCATGGCCATTTAGCAGCACCCCTCTCCTGAAATCCACACAGGCCCTCTGGCCGGGGGGACGAGTAATAGTCATAGTATTTTTACTAATAAAAATAAAGAGCTAACCTTTATGATGTCTTCATTATGAACCAAAACCTTTCTAAACAACACACACGTGTGTAATTTGAGCACTGAAGTTATCATCTCACTGAAGTTATTGTTACTGTTTCAATTACTGAGATGAAGGAAAATCAGATGCATAGAGTTTATTAAACCACTGAGCGGTAGGGTCAAGCTTCCCCGTAACTGTACCAAGAGCAGAGGCGGAAACCACACTCACTGCTTTCCCACGGGCCACGGGACCCAAGGTGACTTAGCAGACATGGTAGACATTCCATGAGCTGTTCCACACATTTGGGAAACGCTAAATCAAACATGTTTGTTATGTGTTGTTTTGTTTTTAACATAGGCCTCTGGGTATTTTTAAAGTATTTTATTAAAATAATATTCATTATGGTTGTAAATCAAGTAATTCAAAAGAAATCGTATTTAAAATGGTCTTCAAAAAGTTCTTCCTCACTTCCATCCCTGCTTTTAACTTTGCTTTTTAATTTCAATTGGCAATTGGCTTTAATAGCCCTAAAGTTAGAATGAACACTTTAAGAAATAATATGCAATTGGCCCTGTATCTTGATTTATATACTTTTGAGGATAATATGAGCCCTAAAGAATGAGAATTTAGTTTACTTATATTTTAACCTATCCCTTGCTTCATTCTAAAGTTGATATTTACATTTTAGTTCTTTTACATATCTTTTAGCTCTCAAATAACACCTGGGGATTTTATTCGTCTCTCACCTTGGCTAGCTTCACTCAGTGTCTGCGCTCCCCTTTCTCGCCTGCCATCCACACCACTGTGCCCCACCTGCCCCTGCCTGAGACTCTGAGCTTCACCTTTCCATCACTAAGCACAGTATTTACATCTTCCACAGCCGCAACCAGTACCTCCTATTTGAAGGCTATTGGAAAATCAAATGGTGTGATATCACAATACTACGTGAACTCAATTTTAGCCATGGGATTCATACATCTTATAAAGCAGCTTCTCGTTCAGTTGCATATTCGTGAAAGAAGTACACGGTGTTCCGAGCCTCAATCTACAGTACCTGTAACTTTCAGCTTTTCGGCCCCAATGGTAATCTCATCTTCATCTGCCGAAAACAGCACCCTGCCATCTTCACTCGCTCTCACTTCAAATCTCTTACACTGAGCTTCCACAGCATCAGCTCCTAAGGTCAGAGGAAAGGTTTACAAATGAAACTGGTGTGCAGAAACCATTAACATGTATTTTCTTTAGTAAAAGAAGAGAAATCCATATATTATTTAATTTATCTCTGCAGTATGTTTTATACCCGAATTAATATTTATTTACTGTTATCCTTTTTAGGAGGCTGTCTAATTTGGTAGAAAATTTGCTGGGCAAAGATGGTTGGGAATATATCTAACCTCTAAATCCCTGACACGGTTTGTGCGTTTAGCCCGTTAAAAAAATCCTTGCATATATACAAGGAGCAATGATGTCTGCTGGGTTCTTAGTTGCAGCCTGAAGACTTGGAGTTACACCTGGCATGTGCCGGGTGCTCAGGAAGTACTTGTAGACTGAATGACTCTCCTGTCTTCTCTTTGCAAGCAGACAACAGCATTCATACTTGCTACATCGCAAGGTATTTGTAAAGCATCATTCAGTTATGAGCCTATAGTTACTATTTCATGTATTCTAATGTTGAAATCTATTCACCCTTTACTATCACTGAATTTTATAGTCAGTTTGGTAAATATGCATCTAATCTTGAAAATATTTCTATACCTGTATATGCTTGGTTTTTCAGAGCACTCCCATGTATCTTATAATCAATAGATATCTTGATTTATTAAAATATAGTATTAAATATAATTACATCATAGAATTGGAAATCTATTGCCAACTTATTAGTCCATCCATCAACCACAAAGTCAGCTCTCATATTTGGAAAATATAATTAATTTGAAAGAAGGGCTTCAACAAGAACAAGAAATTAGTCAGGGGATGAGAATTTGCTATTTCCATAATATCAGTTTATTTCTTTTGGTATAACACATTTGTCATATAGATCTCTATCTTCACCTCTTGTTAAGATTTAGGACATCCCCCCAGATGTCATCTCTATCAGAAACTCTTGTCAGGTACAATTCAGTCCAGTCAGGAACCTGGGCATACCACACTTTGTGCACAGTTCTTTTCATTTTTCATTACATACGCTATGGACTGAAATATGTGTGTTCATGGAAATTCTTGTGTTGAAATCCTGACTCGCCCTGTGATGCTATTAGGAAGTCTGGCCTTGGGTGGTACTTGGGGAGTGATGGTGGAGCCCTCCTGAGTGGAGTTGGTGCCCTTATTAGGAAGACACGGGTGAGTTTGTGCTTTCTCTCTCTCTGCCATCTGCAAGACACAGAGAGAAACTGGCTGGCTGCAAGCCGGGAAGCAGCCTCTCCCCAGACACTGGATATCTTGGTGTCTTGATGTTGGGCTTCCCAGACTCTAGAACTGGGAACAGTAACTGTGTGCTGTTTAAGCCACCTAGTGAATGGGATTTTGTTACAGCAGTGCAAACAGACTAAGAAAACTTACTACCATTATTTGTTAGATATATGACTCCCCCAACCCCCTGGAATTCAAAACAGGAGATCTTTCTATCTCAAAATATCCTCTAAATTTAGAATAGTGTCTGGTTTCTAGCAGGCACTAGGTAGAAGAAAGCTTAAGAGCTGAATGAATACTAGACATAAGCGTCCTTTTCCTTTCTTTGGTCCCCACCTCAGTCCTGCTCCTAATTCCAGCCCAAGGGCTTTTAATGTCTTACACCTTCTCACCATCATATAGCTTCTGAAGAGCACTTAACAAGATAAAAACATTGATTCCAAACCCTTGATAATATGTGGGATAATTTCTCTAAAAAGAAGATGTATATTTTCTTAGATTCTGAAACTACATACATGTTTTCAGGGTCAATGTAGAAAATTTGAAAAGCTTTGAGTAGGACAGGGCTAAGTAATATAAAACTGATCTTAACCTTGCAGGGTGTCAGTTTCAAAACCTGAAAGTGAATTGTACTTTAGAGTCTGTTATCTTTATTTTTAAGCAAAGAACCTTCCTTATGGAAATTATTGACAGTATTGAAGAAATCATGGAAGACCTACAGTCCTTGGTCACAGTTATTGCATTTGATCTTGCAAATATTCCAGCAACCTCTATTCGGTCCAGCATGTTTTCCCCTAATCATAATCATTGTCTAACCTTCTTATATTGTGTTTTTAATCTTTGGACTATAGTAACCCAACTGAGTAATGTTCAAAAGCCATGCTTGAGCTGGATGTGTTGATAAATGTGATTTTTGAGTTTTGAGGCCTTTATGCTCCAATCTATATCTTCAAGGCACTCAGACATACATTACATCTGAACTGCCTGAAATACATTATGGATATTCTACACATAAAATCTTAATATGTACACTATGTTGCTTCCTTCAAATATACTTAATTGTTGGGTGAACTGAGCCACAAAATATATCACTGACTTTAATGACAGTAAAGTGCATTATATATAATGTATATGTGTAAGATATACACATATATACTACCAGGATTTTTCTTGGTGTAACACTTAGTATCATTATATGGGAGATACTTTAATAACATAAAATGCTCTATTATATGTCACACACACTATTAGAAATATAAGTATGGTCTCTGGAAATAGCAAAGTGAGTTGAAATTTTAATTCACTAAATTGACTGAGCAAAAGCAGAAAGTAAATAAGAAAATATTTATGTACCTGGGAAAGACGAAATGCATCTAGGCCATAAATGAATGCATGCAGACTTACCCAATTGAAAAATACATATATAAATTAATGCTGCAGACTACACTTTAACACATTAGTAAAATTTTAGAAGGCAAACTTACAATTAGCAATGAATTAATAATAAATATATTAAATCTGAAACCCAATTTGAATATATTGTGCTTTTCTGTTGTGCTTTTCTTTTCTGCAGGTGGAAGACAGTAACTATATGTAATTGGACATATATTGTATTGTGAATATTTAAATGTTTCAAGTAAATTTGTTATGTCTTACTTTAAATGTATAAAGTAAATGTTTACATTAAATGTTTAAAGTAAATATGTTAGGCTATATAAAACTGAACTTTTAATATCCAAACATACTTTATGTTGTTTTATTCTGTTTTTCCTGTTCCTGCAATCACATATTTTCTTGGCCAACTCAGGATCCAGTTCTTTAAAAGGGTAGTAATGCCCAGTTCTATTTGATCTCAAATAATGATGCTTCCAGAGTTGCAGGAAAGCAACATGCCTGAATGACTCAGGGTAGTGAGCTTCGATGCCTCAGCAAATGGATTATGGGAGGCAGGCTAGCCAGGCAGTTCTCTATTTTATTAGTCATCCTAAACTCCAGCTTGCTAACCGAAGTATCAAGACTAAATGCTTTCTTAGGAATATCTCTGAAGAAGTTCATGTCAGCAACTTCAAAATTAAACAAAGAACAGCCAGGGATATAACAAGCGAAGAGAACTGGCAGGAAAAAGAGAAATTATATGAGCAAAATAACAGGTTCCATAAAAGGACTGTGGTGTTCAGTACATATAGGAATACTTAAAGTTCATTTAATGCTCTGTATGTCTTCTTTAAAAGCAAAAACACACCACCACCAGCAAAGCTAGTTTCTAGCTCCCTTCAGACGTGGTTCTATTGCCTTTTGGAACATTTCCATTGCTTCTGTCACAGCCAGTCGTCAGAGGCGCGCTTTGTGGACAGACAGAGGCTCCAGCAGTGGATCGGCTATCTTTGCATTTTCTACATTAAATCAGTCAAACATGAATTGGAAAATTTCCTTCAATAATAATCTCTAAAGAGGCTCAAATGGTATATTTCCTCAGAGACTCCTGGTACTATTTATCCCTGATTTAAATAAAACAAGGCAAATTAAATTTCTATTTAGGCAATTTCAAAACTAGCCTTAATGATATAAATATAATCTTTTCCACTTATACTTTTGGATCTTTTGATGATTCTTAATAACAAATGTTATGTATGTTATTATAGTGTAAATATAATATATATGTATATTATAGTATACTATAAATATATAATATATAATAGATAATAAATAAAATACTACATATTACTATATAGTGTATTATTTTAATATGTATTATATATGATTATTTCATGTAATGTATATACAAACATATAATATATAATATACTATACTTCTATGCTTATATATTATACTTACAGCATATGTTAATATATAGTATATATTAAAGTATAGTATTATATATCTATATATTGTCATAAATAATATGTAATATAATAATTATTATTTAATATGTAATATTTAGGAATAATAACTATTATTATACTTGTATGACTACCTAGGCCACCCTTTCATAAGCTCCCATGGTGTATTCTCTTGGCCTTGGCCTTCATGACTCTTGGGAGGCTCAGGTAATATCTGTCCCTTAATCCCACTTCTATTGACCATGTTGTCTAAGAGAAGTGAGAACAGACATTGTTGACTTACTATTTTGTTTAAGGGGCCAATTGAACAATGTAAGTATAAAAATATCTGTGCTTTTGAGAGTCTATAAACATAGAAGTACAGCGTCTCAAAATTGTCAATGGGACATGGATGGTGGGTGAGATATTCTCTTAAGTTTTTTTATACTTTAGGCTGATTCATAGTCTTTCAATTCATAAAGGAAAAATAGAAAAAAAACTGCATATCACAGGCAGTGAAAAACTACTGACAGAATTATTAGGTAAGAGTAGAATAAATGGATGCTTAAGTAAAGGGAAGAGATTGCTTACGACTGCATTTTTCTAAGTGCTTTTCCTAGAGAGGAAAAAGAAGAAAATGCTTAGTGTCCTCTGGTAATTTCTCATTCCCTACCTTCTCAGCAGACACTGACATTTCAAGTGGTGCCATCTACATTGCGGGAGGTGTGGGGGAAGAGCACGAGAGTTGAAAACCCATTTCTTGATAACATTCAACTATAATTTTTCCATTGCAGCCTATTACCTCTACGTGTTTCATAAAGAGGAAAAAATGAGTAACTCTTCAGAGATTTTCTCTACTTCTTATTTATCAGCTTGCCTAGGTCTTCTGCTATATTCTGCTACATCATTCTAGGAACTTTTAAAAATAAGTCAATACATCTTTTCTGTA